TTCGAGTTCGACGGGTCCTTGGCAAGAGTGGGCCAACCCCTTGTTGAAGCAGCAAGTTGAAACAAACTCATTCTCCTGGGCTGCCCTTCTCCCAAAGTAGGGTTAATGGAAAAGCTGCTAGTTTCCATAATATCATGAGGGGTAGGAAAGGCGCCTCAGGGCCCTTGACCACCACAGGATTCCCGACCCAAGGCTCAAACTTGTAGAATTTGGATGATTCAGCCCGTTCAAGCTGCTAGTATTTAACCACCTCGTGTCGCTTCCTTTGACGGGGGTCAGGGTCTGGTTGTTCAAACATGGATCATATTTCGCCCAAGCGTGGTCCTGGATTCCGCTTTCGGTCCCGCCTATGATGATCTCCTCTTCAACGCTCGGTTGGAGGGAGTGCGCCTACCACAGTCTCGGCCCCGAAAGCCGGCAGTGCCCTCAACTGACCTGAGAAATCGGTGAAACGCGTTTACGCTAACAGAATTCAGTTTCCCTAAACGCCCACCCTTACTTCAGCTTCCCCCAGGAATGATATGATACGTGTGGGGAAGTTAGGATTCCCGTGGACACGTGTACAGCAGTGGAACTAGTCGTTGAGGTGGCTACTTTGCCAGAAGTCCCTGAACAGGGGCTAGGTTTGGCTAGGTTTAAGCCCCAAAAGGAAGTCAGGGGGATGAGAATCCAGCTTGGTATCATGGCAAGGGTCCCATGTTCCACAACTATGGGCCCGAAGCAAAACAAGAATACCTAGTTGGGCATGTTGCAATACGGGCTACTCAGCGAGTCTCTACTGTAAGAAACCCAACAACATAAGGTGACATACGTGAACCCCACCATTTTGCTGCGCAAAGCTGTACTTCTGCCATGTACCCAAATGGCCATGACTGATACCAGCGAACACCTTCCAAACTGGTTGGTGGACATACATCTCCATCTAAATGATGTACACCAAAAGGTCCCAAACGCATCATGTTGTTAGACAACAGTCACACAGGTTCGAATTCAGGGAAACAAGGAGCCTGGCACACGTGTTTTTGACGTTTTGGCTGAGGCAATAAGCCACTTCATCACCATGGTCATGCTCCCACGTTGAGAATGCCAACTTCAAATTGATCCACAGGGCCATACCAATACAAGGAATCACCCTGAAATGAACCACTTCCCCACGACAACTCCCACTCCCCGCTCAGCATGGTCTTCCAGATTACCCTCCGAAAACAAACATGCAACCTGAAAGACTGGTCTAGAAGAAACTGGTTTGGCAGGGAATTGTTTTCGGGTGCCATGTTTGTTTTGGGGACTGGCCCCATTATGTTACCATTCTCAACGTCACCCCCGAGTGGAGCGGTGATGCACTAAATGTGGTCAACATGCTGCCAGTGTGAGGCCTCACAAAAAGATCGTCCCACATCCGTGCCTTCTCAGTCGCCAGGTGCTTGAAGTTTCGTGTTGGGGGCTGTAGTGCCTCCGGAGAACCGACTCGTCTGGCCAACGGGACTTGTTTCTTCTTTTCTATTTACAGATAAAGATAGGACGGATGAGTGTGTGGACAGCCTTGTTTCAACGGCTGGAGAGTAGTGGATGGCGACAGTTAGTTACTTTCTTCCGTCGCCTCTTCTCTTAGGTTCTCCCGTCGCTCGCTCGCCTGGAACCCGGGCCAGCCTCAAATCATACCAAAGGACAATCCGGGTTTCCGAAAAGAATCTCAATCTTGAAAAGACCTCGCTGGCGGCGATTCGTGGACAACAGGCACCATCCATGCTGCAATCCCTTGCTGCCACCACTTCCCTGAATATCCTTCTCGCCTTGTGATTTCACGAGTCTGACAGGGTGGATGACTGGCTGTGAGTGAAACCTAGATAAACCTAGCCGCTTGGTAATTGTCTGGCTGCTTTTATTCGAAACCACCCATCTCGGCCGCTTCCACATACAAAATCCGGTGACGAGGCAAAAGGCCTAAACACTTTGCAGCCTACGCTGACCGCTTGTGACCCCAGACAAAACCCAGTGCCAGGGGTCTCACAATGTTTCCAACCTAGAAATATCACCTGGCCAAGTGCTGCGTTTTGAAGAATGGAAACTCCATGATCAGCTCTTGTTGGCGTGGTCCTCAAGATCGGCAACCCTGAAAACGCAAGCAGGAAAGAACACACACACACACACACACACACACACACACACACACACACACACAACAATACACTCCCGTCAACCCGGTCAACCTATAACCTCCCCCTTGTGGACTCATGGCACCCCCCCCTCTCACTCTGGCCCCTCACCCAGCCCTGAGCCTCGATGAGTTGCTCCCGATTGACGTAGCCCAAGTTCTTGCCGTCCAGGTGCTGCAGCAGCTCGTCCTTTCGTTCAGCGAGGCGGTTCTGTGAACGGCGCCTATGCGGGCTGGTGGGCAAAGGAACCCTTCACAGGTGATTTCCCTTTCAATACAAACCAGGGTGCCCGGATAAAACTGGGACACCCAGGTTGAGCTGACTGCCGTCGGTTTTGATGCTCGACTTTTTGAATTCGACGAGAGCACGAATAAAGACTGGGCTTTGGCCAAACTTCTTGGGCTGCCAGCTGCAGTCAGCAAACGGATGCAGCACATACACAAGCCCCACAACAACTTTGCCAAAATCAAGCCCCCAGCCTCTTTCACCCGACTTCAGACCAAACAACCAAATAGGTGTGTTTCAAGGGGAAGCCCTCAAATGGGTCTTTGATTTCCCCTGAACCTGTCCAAAACAAACCCTCAAAAATGATAGACAAACATGTGTCAACCACAATCCCCACAATCTTGCCACGAGCATGTTTTTGCGGCCGAATCATTGCGTTGGATTGAAAGATCACACGACTGGACAAAATGGTACGGTTGAAGCGAACACACTGACCAACAGATTGAAGTACCAAACATACAAATGCAAACCAAGTTGAAAGGTTAGAGGCTAACATCTTTAACCTGATCAAAGGTTACAGGCTAAAATATGCAACATGTTAAAAAATAGAGGTTAAATGTTGAACATGGTTCTCATGTTGAACCCCTTCCTTATACGCATACATTGTGATGGGGGTTCTGCCAAATGTCGAAGAGTTCAAACGACCACACTGATTAAACAATTCCAGCTCAGAATGTTACAACGATGGCTAACCAAACAGAAAGTCGGGACAAACAAGGCGCATAGCCATCGCCTGTTGGTCTCCTTTGCGGGAAAATAACAATACTGAAACAATGATCCCTGACTAATCCTGGGAAAAGCGTTGTTTGGCCTCAAGGTGCTGTTGTTAGAAGCAAATACATGGAACTGGTAAATGAGCATCGGACCAACCTAAAACCAGTGGAATCCAATCCAAAGGATGTCCAAAAACCATCCAAAGGCAAAACCACATTTTGTTCAACCCAAGGACTTCATCCCAATGTCCGATCCAAATTGGTCATTTGGGTTTGTCTCTAGATATAGAACCTCCGTTCCAAATCGTTTTTTCCCGCCAAAACGGTGCCTTCACAAAAAAGTTCCTCCCGTTGCGAGCTTCGCCCTCGAATCAACCAAGTGGCCACCTGTCCGCTGGCCACTCCCAGGTCTTTGATGGCCTCTGCCAGCGTGCCTCGGGTGCGAGCGGAATACCCGGAGAACTCCCCGGCGGTGCAACGTGTTTCAACCCATGCCTTAACTCTTCACCCATCCATTGGCGAAAAACCGTGGGAGTCCTAGGACAAATGGGTGTGCCAATGTGTGCCATGTTGTTTGCGGCTCAGCACCCTTTTCGGGTCCTAAAGGAAGCCACCCACTTTGGGGTTCCACTTTGGCCCTATGGGGTGAATCCACCACGAGGGGAAACTGAGGTGAATCCGTAAAAAACAACAACGGTAAATCCGGCTATCAATCAAACACCCATAAGAAAAGGACAAATGAGGTGTGATCGTAAACCGGAGGTTGATCCGTTGCTATGGCATTGGGTGAACGTAGATGGCATGCTCCCGAGCAGATGCGGAAACGGGATGATTAACACACATGACGGACATGTGCCAACTATTCTCACTCAGCTGTAAATCAACCCATTTTATTTTGGAACTCATTTCACTTGAGGTTGGTAATGATGATCAACGGCTGACAGGGATTTCAGATAACCGGACTGCAAAAGGTTCACGTAGCATCAAAACGGTTTCCAACCTTATCTTTCCCGCTCTTTCCTCAGGGCGACAACCCGAAGAGTCAAAACTGGGCCTTTTGGTTTGCATCCCCTCTTTGTTTAAGACCCAGGGGTTGTTTCAAAAGCCACCCCAAGAAGGGCGGCATCTGATTGGTACAGTAGCGATTGTACAAAGGGGATCGAAAGGAACACCCAGGGCCCAGTGGAGCATCACTTGTTGTTCTTCCTCCCGACAAGGGGGGTAACCTATTTTGACACCCACCCTTATGAGCCCCAAACAAAGGTCGTCAGCCTGGCCTTTGTGGGTTGTCCCCGGTATGCCCTCCCCAAACAAACAGTAGACTACCAATATACTATACCGTCACCAACTCATATAAACATGTACAGCCCGTTTGGCAAAGCAACAAGCCAATTGGTTTTGGCGCTGCTCAGTCCAAAGCAAATCCACAACATCTCACTACAGTAGATGGTTCTTCCTTCCCCCATCCACACACGCTGCTTTGACGATGTTGCCGTCACTGAATATCAAAATTATGTTTTTTAATGAACCGACGGAGCAAAAAGCCGCCTTTGGCAAAGAGGAGCATGTTGAAAGTCATAAACCACCGATCCCCCCGAACTCGTGCAAAGATGGGTTCCACTTTGCATTTTCGGAAATCCAGGGACCCCCTTGAAGACGGCTTCTTCACTACTAAATAAATCCCTTTATTTAACCGAGTAATTCGCAGATTGTACCACAAACCACAAACCGTTCAAAAAGAAGAAGTCCATCAAGTGCTTTCAAAGAGAACCCAATTACATAAAGTGACGGGTTTCCATTGGCCACCTTCACCCCACCAGAGGTGTCCCTAAAATGGCCCAAAAGCCAAAAGATCCCAAAAGGCGACACTTATAGCAGCCCAAAAGGGCGAGTTGGTCCCTGGAAACCACCATTGTTTGAACAACCTCCTTTTCTTTTGGTTTCCCTGTGAAGGAGACCAGAACCTGGTCCCCAAATCCCTCATAGTTTCGCACGTTTCGGAGATCCAGGCACTGACGCGCACGCGCTCGCTGCGGCCGGGGTCGATGGCGTTCACCAAACTGTCCACGTCAAGGACCATCTCGCCGTTCACGGTGTGGACTCCCGACTTCAAGGCCTCATGGACCTGCAAGAAATCACAACCCCCCTGCATAGAATCCAAACCCTCCCTCCCTACCCCCCAGGCCTTCTTGGAGGAAACGAGCAGGGAATAGGGGTGAAATAATTCTGAGGAACCCAAAACATGAAGGCCCGAGCCTGGCGTAAGATGCGGACCTTCGCGGGAGACACAGGAGAAACATCGATCTCCGGCTCTTCCTCCTCCTGCCTGGGACACGGCTAAGAGCGACGAATGCCAAATGTGCCAATCGGGAAACTGCAGTGCTTGAGTCTGGGCAAAAACCTATACCCTCCCACCACCAACTAACATGGAAGTGCACAAAGGCCCTTGCCAAAAGGAAAGTAGTCTTTCTACCGGGGTCGTGCACGTCCATGTTAGTTGGTGGGAGGGTAATTAATCTTGGCTCAGTCAACAGGTACATGTCAGGGGCACTAGGCTTTGGGCCCGAGCCCTTAGAGTGGACTGACTGCTCTGGGTTAAAGATGTCAAAGGCCTCGAGTTTCAATGAGGAATCCAGCTATAGGGAAGTTGGGTAGCCCTATATAAGGGAGTTCTAGTATGCTACGCCTCTGATTGCCCTTTTTTTGCGAAGTAGGACCCGTTTATGAGACATTTGGGGTCCCCTGAAGGGAGAAGAACAAACGGAACAAAACTGTTCAAAGGCAAATTCCACAACCATCTAACTACGTGTACAAACATTTACAAACTACGCGAGCGCGGTGGCTGTGCATTTGGCCTGTTTTTGTTGGGGCCTGGTCTAGGCCTGCAGGTGGATAGAACCCTCGTCCCATGGAAGAAACCAGAAAGGGGAAACGAACACTGTTCACAGACCCTTCCACGGTGTTTGCCCCCAACCAAAGAAATCTGTTTGATCGTGTTCTGGGAACCTCGATATGCAACATAACTTCAAAAGAAACCCAAAGGTTCTTATGGACATTAAGCTTTTGGTTCCCCAAAAGCAGTCGTCTGCGGGCAATTCCCTTGGGGCTTTAATTTCTACAGGCAATTTCGTCGTACGGGCCTCTCAGGCTGCCAAACGGGGAAGTGGCGGCAGAACTGGTAGGCCTTGGTGGCTCGCCAGCTCTGCAGATCCGAGGCCACTCGGGGCACGTAGACGCCTCGGAAACAGGGCTCCCGGAAAATGTCCCGCACCTGTTTTTTCTCCCCTCTTTTGCGAGAACCTTCTGTTGAAAGGAATGCCTTGGTTGGTTTCAAAGGCTAACTAAAAGGACACCAATGTCAGTTTGCGGCTCCGTTCATTCTGAGACAGGCCCCTGTTGCAGGACAATCCCAAACCCAGCAAAATGACATTGAAAAAGGGATGTGAGCCACTAAAAGGGGAAGTGTTGGAACCCTTGATAGATTGACATTGCTTTGGGGACCCCGACCTCCAGCGGATTTCGAGAACGGTATATCAGTAGTGTATCAGATCGCCAGTCAAATCACTGCCTTAGCCGAACCCCCTGAAAATAACTACGACTTTTCCTTGCATATAGTTTCGTGAATCTCACTAAATAGCCAACCAACCAAGCAACCAACCAACCGACCGACCGACCTACCAGCCCACCATTTACCCTCCAACCAACCAACATTCACAGACTCACCCCAGGCAAAACGAGAAAGAGCCGCCATTCCACCGTCTTTTTCCGGCCGCGCCTTTGTTGCCCAGCCAAATGCCCTGCTCCTTGCGCCACAGACCCGGCGCTCCCTGCTTCACGCGACGCGGGGAGTCCATGCGCAGCAGCGCATTGAGGTCCACCTGGGCGGACGGGGCGCTCGAGTCGACAAGCCACGGTGAGTGTAAGACGGAAACCCATCAGATCCGAAAAAGGAAGGCCAACTGGCAAATGATCTGATTTAGGATCTGCAATAAACTGTGCTTCCCAGTCTTCGCTCAAATGGAGGTTGGTTTCAAGGGAAGGCCACACAGCTAGACATGGGCTAGACATGGGTGTGTTGCCTTTGATCTGTTGGCTTCTAAGTAAACCAAAGGGGCACCTGTTGCCATATCCCAGGTCATTGTGTTGCATGGCCGGCTTGCGGGGTTGCATTGCACATGGTTCGTGTTTGTGCTTGCACGAAGGTCGTGGTCAATGGTCACCGTGTCTTCACAAAGCCGTTGCCACTTTCAGAAGATGTGAATGCGTATTCGGGAGTCTTAAGCGGGCCGGGCGCATGATTGTGGACATACCCCTTGTCGTGCCTCCGTTTGGTAATTCAACATCCCCTATAGGACTACACGACTTCAATCGGTTCCTTAGCTCCTTATCCAAAAGCAAGGAACACCACCAAAAGGAAATACCAAAAAGCAGGCAAGATCGGGACATATAGGAACTTCTTGACAATTCAGAATGAATGAGTTTCCACGGGCTCCTGTGGTTAGTATGGCCGGGTTGCTCCAAAGGTTCAGGCACACAATGTGACACAAGGGTAACAAAATGGCACCGGGAAAGAAGAAGCAAAAACACAAATCATGTATCAGCCACTCGGACCAAGCTCAGTTGTCCAAAGCCGAAGAAACTGTTCACCTAAAGGAGGTTCCCCTACGATGGCTTCGTCGGGGTCTGTGCTACTCTGCAGGGTAGTCTCAAAAGGACCGCCCTGCTTCACGGGACGTCCGAACTTCTGAACTTGGATTTCAGGCAAACCGGAAGGAACCTGCTGGATTTCACCCAGGGACCCCGAAAAAGGGTAGTTTCTCTTTGGTTCTCTTTGAACCAACCCTTTCATATGGCTATGACTTTTTTGTGGGCATGCAACCCGCTACGCCGCACGAATCTTGCTACGGAGGTATGCAACGGGTTTGTTGCTACGCAGGTGTAACGAAAAACCAGTGCGGGACAAGTACTTCCGCATCTCCAGGTTGAAATTTGAAGCTGGTTCAACGCAAACCATTCGACGGCAAAGGGGGGCCGCTGGCCCGGGCTGGGGGGGTATGGAGCGAGGTATAGCACAGCAGCTCTGCTACCTGTTCCGACTTTCTTCTGAATGGCAAGGTCTGTGCGAGTTGACTCTTCACAGGTATGTCCAGCGAAAGCATGCTCCGCAAAAGCCTGCTCTGAAGGCACCCATGGAGAAGCACTCGGAGTCTGGGTACGCATCAGGGTATGCAAAGAGGGGCATGCAACCAACTAGGCGGTTTCGTTCATGTGAGGTGTGCAACGAAGGTATGTAATAAGAATGATGTAACCAGCCAGAAGGTCTTGTCACATAGTGCATGTAAAGGGGTACGTAACGAACGTCCGCCGCGGCTCTGATACAGAACCCTCAACCAAAACAATGCCCAAATATGTTGTATACCCGCAATTTCTGGCTGTCCAACTCCCATTTTGAGACACCCTCCACGTCATTCCGAACTGTTGTGGCCTGCATGGATCCCCGCCGGAATTTCACGGGCGACACCGGCTCCTCCTCCTGGGATGGAAGTTCTGTGGGGGGATGGTGAACGACCAAGGCAAGGGGGAGTGGTCTTGATATCCGGAAACTACAGGTTGATATAAACGTTCACCTGGGGGCGGAACAACATTTATTAATAGGGCACGTTGGCTACGAGGGGGTGTTGTTGCTTTCCTTTGGTCCAATGTGCTTTCTGTTAGGAAGGGTCCAACAGCGCGCTGCTTTCTCACCATTCTTTAGTGCACACTTTACAGAGAGAAACTAAGCACTGTGGAATTGGAGTTCTGGTTGGCACAGGGTTGGTATATTATACAAGGGATTCAGCCAGCCAGGGTGCTGAAGTACCCCGGAAGAAGATCAGGGCTGGGATAGGCCAGGAACCAGCTGGCCAGTATTCTTTCAGAATAGGCGCAATGGAAAAGTAGTACTGGGGGCTGGGGCACCCGCAAAAAAAACACACTATTCATAACAGGGAGTATTTCTCTGAATAGGGGAGGGCGATTCACATCGACACATCTTCAGCTAGGCCTTGCTTCGGGGCATCAATCTGTTGCGCAATCTCACCCCACCCCAACCAGGGCACAACTCCAGTTGAGGACAGTGGCGCTTAAGACTCAAGTGCACCCCTGACAGCCAGCATTTGTTTGAGAGATAGCTTCAAGCCATCCTTTGGAGAAACATAGTTGGGCCACGGATGGATTCAGTTGGCGCCGACTTGGAGGCGATCATGGTACGTAGTCCTTCGCGGAAAAAGGACAGCTTCCTGTAAAGGCCCAAATGATTAGTCACTAGAGTGAGGTGTGGGGGACTTTAGAACCAAATGAGCGAGAGGCAAAACCTAAGACTACTTTGCTATATCGTTCTGCAATGTTTCAGACGCTGGTGCGTTTATGTCAAGGATTGGTGGAAGGTGGAAAGACAAAGAATGGAGGAAGAGAGTAGAGGACAGGGTAGAAGAGGAAGGGAGGCAGGGCAGAAGAGGAAGGAAGGGAGCAAGGGAAGAAGATGCTGCGCAAGCTCCATGACCGCCCGCAAGTATGGGAGGTGGAGCAGGGCCCACGCGCTGACCTGTCCGGGTGTTGCTGAGGTACGTTTCAGGGTATCGTTCAAAAAGCCCTCCAAAACCAGAAAGCTTTGCCCATCTTCTCTTAGTCCAGGGCATGTGCCAAAACCAGCTACACGTTGCGTGAAATGACTGGGGCCGACGTGTGAAAAGCCAACCGAAAGCGGCTTCCCTAGAAGAATGACACCTACGTCCCCTTCAGTCAAAAAAGCTCAGTGCAGTGTGAAGCTTCAAGTCAAGGACGGGAGGAAGCGGAGCTACGGAGAAAGAGAGGGAACCCAAGCTATGGTGTGGTTTCGGTGTCGTTTGAGGTATCATTTTGAGCGCCGGCTCGCCGACTGTGGCGAGGTTCTTTGGCGGCCTAAATTTCCAGCAAAAGTGCTTTCGACGCTCCAAAATGACTTTATGGTTTGGCGCGCCGACTGTGGCGCCTGCGGGCGCAAGCAGGAAGCATTCACACTTCTCGAATGATCTGAGAAGGCACCAACAAAGTGAGTCTAACTTTTCAGTAACAGGTGGGGAGCGCAGTCCTGGCACCCAAAGCCACCCACTGGGTGCAGCTTGAGTGGGCATGGTCTGGCCCACAAGCCGGGGAATGCAGTTCCGGTATACCCAAAGCACCCAAAGGTGAATCTTGCTAATGACTTTTGAATATGACATCCTTGCCACTAAGCGCGAAAGCCGAATGGCTTTTGGGTAGGGTTTGGCAACCAAAAAGGGTTTTCCCACGCTTATCATGGGTATCTACATCCTGACATCCTCATGAAGCCCTTCCCATCCTCCTGCAGCAGCAGATCTCTGAGGAGCAAGCACAAGCCCACCAAGGCTTCCGAGTTTGGCCCGTGGCGGGCCCTGTGTTTGTGCGGAAGGATGTGCTCTGAAGGACCTGCGCTTGTCTTTGAAAAAGCAACTGCACTAGGCCTGTGTCGCGTCAGGGAAAACAAACTTCCTATAAGCTATTAAAGCCAAGCAAGCGCGCAAGAGCCTTCTCTGCCTTGCGGTAGTTGTGATCAGCGGACCAAAAGATTATGCTTCTCTGGCTCCCAAGCATTTGCGGCTTTGCTTGCTGGCTGCTACTTCTAGGTCGCAGGTCGCAACTTTCAGTACAAGCGCAGTACGCAAGTTACGATTTGGCAGCTTCAGCTCGAAAGGTCGCAGAGCGCGCCGGTGCCTGCGGGTGCCTTTGCGTGGTGCGTGCGTGCGTGTCAGGCCTTGTGCTTAGCGATCCATCTGGGTGGACCCATCTCGTGCACACGTGTGCCCACCATGCACTGCCGAGGAGCATTGACAGGAGCTGTCATGGCAACTTACAGCTTGGGGCAAGAAAGGCTCACACAGAGCAAATTAGAAGCCCGAAGCGCCAGTTTTTCGGAACAAGCAACGCGAAATCGCCGAAGACATATCTTATGATCAGAGAGTTTAGCCTTTCTCTCAAATGCAAATCAAGCCATGGTCATAACATAACAATGCGTGTAGGTTCTTAGCTCCTTATCTTACAGAAGGAACCCCTCCAAAAAAGACCCTAACAAGAGATTCCAATCCTGCGGATGGATCCTTGCTGGATCCTGCCGCGTATCTGCATGCCAGTAGCCATCGGGTCCATTTCTTGAGGCCATGAGAATATCGTGAGAAGGTACTTACTTGCCAACACCTGAAAATCAAAGATGATCACCCCTTGGAACCCTTGACTTGACACGAATCAAATGTGGGACACCAAAGGTCAGATTAATGAATTCTACTGGGGGCCCTTGGTGGGTCTCATTTAGGTGGGGATTCATGTGCACAATCATGCTTAAGAGTGATCCCTATCAACATCATAGCCAAACCCGGTCGATTTGATGTGTGCAACTGAGAGCTTTGCTCTGAGATTTGCCCCAGTGCCCTCCTCCTCCTCCACATCCGTGCCCTCATCCATCATCAACTTCTCCCGGATATCCCGCTGAATCTCCTCTTGGCCCAGTGGCTACATGGCTTTGGTGACTCAGCCTAGTAGTTGGCTGAACAACTCAAACAAGACGGACACCTGTTTGTTGGTGGGTTGATTGCTGAGCAACATGCGGAGTAAGGCCTTGTGTTGTTGGAAACACACCCAAAAGAAACTCCACCTTTCTGTTTTGCTTGATCTTTAAACACGCGAAAGGGGTCCCTTTTTGGTTGATTCGTGTTGGACAAGCAACAAACGCAGGGCGGAATCACACCTCAATGAAGCCACCAACAAAAGGGGCCGCCCCATGACCCTTCACTCACAAGGACACATCCTTTTTGTTGGTCTGCATTTGAAAACACCAATCAGTCCGGGGAAGTGCTTTTTGCCTGACATTTGTTTGGAACAGAATTATCAGAAGACAGGACGCTTTGACTTGATTATCACTTAAACAACAAAGACAAGGGCAGCCCGTTTCTTTGTGGCCGCTTGAAGGAATCTTGGAACTCTAAGGATGAAAAGGCTGAGCGGACACCCAGTGAACACCAAACAAACGGAACAAGTTGCATGATGCACAGGTACATTGTGCCAACGTTCAAGCTCCTTTTCTCTTCCAGGGTGATGGCTCCAGGAAGAGAATCGGAGTTTGGTAGTTTGGTGTTCTAGCAACTTCAAGTAAAAGACAAGTCTTTGAATCATGATGGATTGGCTCCAAAAATTCACTCGTTGAGGTCTTAATTGGAGAGAGTTTAGGGGGTTAGTGGAGAGAATATAGAGTGGATGAACCTGGTGTCTGAGAACATGTACCCCACAAATTGTGGGTTCCTTGTGGCTTCCCTTTGCAACCAGCCCGAACTGCCCGTCCTGCAACGTCTTTTCCCTGAAGGGCGGTGGAGGATCTCGGCGACGTGTCGCCAACCTGCAAAACCAAAAGCGAGCCAAATGGTGGTGGTTGTTCGGAGGGACACCAAAAGGACACAAACGGAAAAACTTGGACGTGTTCACAAGAAATGAACGAAAAGGTCGAGCGAGCATCTGGACGGTCGATTAGATTTGCATGTGTCGCATCCACTGAGAGCGTATGCCCAGGATTTTGCTTTGTGGCGCGCGAGAAAGTGTTGAAAGGTCGTTTCTTCCCTTTGAGACAGCTCCGAGCCAACTTGTCTGCACGAACTACTGCAACAAATGCAACTCGCTTGAGCACTTGGTCACTCTCAGTGGAGGCATGATTGTTGCTTCGAACCAAGGGGCAAGTCTTTGATGAAGTTCAAGTCTTGGCACTACCAACTTTGTTTCATAATGATTCACACACTAGAAAACTGTGTTACCCATACTTGATGGCAGCAGCCCAGCCATACAAGGAAGCTTCATCATGGCCAAGGTCTCTCTGTCAAGTGCCATGTTAGTTTGAGGGAGCGCAACGTAAGGGGCTAGTCACACAAAATTATGCTCCTACTGTGGTAACTTGGTCTAAAATTCCCCGCCCATCCCCCCCCCCATGTAGTATCCCGATTTGAGGTCGTGATTTCATTTGTCCCAATGACCTTTTTATTCCCCATGGCCGACTCCCGTCCGAGTGGCCCTGGCAAGTCTGGGTGGCAGCGCATTTTCAGGTGCTCAGGGATGACATAGCCATATCGCACCCCCAGGCCGGAACGATCCACTAGATCACTGGCATCCTGGCGGTTTTTGATGGTATTTGGATGGCCATTGGCCCACAATACTTCAGCGACCTGAAACTTGATTTGGACCCCCAAGGAGAAGCTTCGTCATGGCAAACCTTGCAGCCCCGCACCCTGAAGTGCAAACATACAGCAATACATTCGAAGTGCCCTACCTGCCCAGAGCCCTCCCAGTATCTGCCCCAAGGAGTTACTGAGACACCATGAGAAAGATGTCCTGGCGGAGCTTGAGTTTTTGCTCTTTGTCAAGCGAAAACACCGAAGCCATGGAAAAAACAGCGAAAAGAAACCTAACCTTCGACTGCAGTCCACCAGCAATGAAGTTTTGTGTGTCTTTGCCTTGAGCGAAGGTCGACCCCTCCTTCAAGGCGTTGTCCTCCAGCAGCTGCAGCACGTGTCTGGCCCAAAGCTCTTCCCTCGCCTCCTCCGATTTCACAACGTCCATGAGCCTTCGGTGCGGGTCGGATGGCTGGGTAGAGACGAAATACTTAGATTATCTTCTTGCGCTGAACAAACGGCTGGGAAACACAAGTTGCTTGCGGCTGGGGAAGAAAGAAGAGCTTCTATGAATTACAGACTTTGTCCTCTGATCATGACTAAGCTTGGTTGTGAGTCACCCCACAACCCCATCCTAATTTGTTAGGCTTTGAGTTACGTAGTAAGTGGCAAGTAACCATGCTTATAAACCTGCTAGCCTATTTTCTCGGCGCAGCTGGGTACAAAATAGGTCTAGGAAGAAACACATCTCCCATCGGAGGCCGAGATTGGAATGGTGGCTTCTTTCCGAACACAAGAAACACTATCTATCCATCCTTGTTTAGTCTCGTTTTGGGGGGAATTGATAACCATGGGCCTGGTAGCCAGGGCGTGACCGGCCTGTTGCCCCAGGTTTTCAGTTGAATCAACGCTCCCAGGGAGAACTTGGACCGCTTAGGAATACCCCTAAAAAGGGATATGGTGCCCTTTGATAAGCTGGAGTACCTCCTGTTTTGAGACGGCCCTCCCGTTTTACATCGGACGACAGGGTCTGATTTGTTTGTTTACCACTAGAATTGTCCTTCCAAAAAATTCAACATAGTTCAACGTCCAGAAACTTGGGAAGCGAGCGATTGGTTCATCTTTTCAAACACTTCTATGCGGCCTGGCAGAAACTTCTTACGCGGCCCGCCGGGTGGTTTACCTCAGATCCCCCCACCTTAGGGTGCCGCCTAACGCAGGACAAACTGGCCCTGCCCTTTCTGGGGATCTTTGCCCGGTTGCCTTCGGTCGAAGCGATACACACTGAAGTGGTACGTCACAAGCCCAGTATGTACAAGGATGTCAAACGTTCATGTGGGGTCGGTGTGACATGGTTGAAGTTTATGAGGTTGACGTAAACAAACCATCAAACCATGCTTGATGAGATTGCTTGCTTGTGGGAAACCAGCAAATGATACATTGTCACATCCTAGCAGATTTCGCCTTTACACCCCTTTCGCCTTTTACACACCTTTCGCCTTTACCCCCCTTTCGCCTTTACACCCCTTTCGCCTTTACACCCCCCCTCCCTTCTCAGCAGCAGGCGCTTTGAACAAACAATTCATGACCTTGGTAAATGATGAGAACCAAACAGAAACCAGTGCAATCTGTTTTTCAACCAAACCGAAGCGGGACAGGGCACCCATGTCTGGTCTTAGGGTGCCTTGTTTGGGTGGCTCAAACGGGAATCCAAAGCAGAGCCGCCCTCCCCCTCTTTTTGGGGGGAGAGAGAGCCCTCATTCAGAGACGCTCTCAGCTTGGTGCCAAGTGACATTGCGTTGAGCATGGGAGCGCATAAGCTGGAGGGGACCAGGCTGCACTGGAGGCTCCTTGAGGGAAGCGGCTAAGTTGCCTGTCTACCCGCTTTACAAATCAACAAAAACGAGCGAACAAAACAACACCCCTGTACAGCACAGTAAGCAAAACTACCCCCGGGTTCCCCAGCCTTGCTCCCAAAGTCGCTAAGGCCTCCCCCTGCCCAAAGAGCGTCCCTTCGTGGAGCTTCTTGGGAAAATCATCATGTTCAACCAAAGAGTCAGAGCTTAAAGGTCCCACACACTAGCGTCCAAGCATTTTAAGCCCGTCAATGTTTCCGGCCGCCCCCTTCCATCGCAAATCGCAATGGTGTTGAAACCTGCTCAAGCTCAAACGAGCCTATTTGAATCAACAAGCATGTGTTCTTCAAACCATGATGCTTGGCCCGCGAATCTGAACCAACTGACGCTTCCTGGACACCACCTGAAAGGAGAACCGCGCGTCGTGCTGCCGCAGGCAGCAAAGGGCTCCGATGGAGTCTCCGGGGCCCAAGCGGCCCACCTCCAAGAGCCTCCGGGAGACCCGGGACAGAACGGGCAATGGATGGGGGGACATTTGAGAGAACAGCTGGGAAAAATGGCCGTGCAGGAAGCTGGAGGAAGCTGGAGGTACAATGGAAACAATTGAAAGAAACTACAAACAGCTGGGGGAATCACTGAAACTCAGAAAGCGCGCCGTATTGTAAAGCCATGTCTGGACAAACATAGGGTGAGCACCGTTACACATGAAGTATCTGTTGCCCTAGTTGATGGCTAAGGTCGGGCAAGACATGCGGCGAAGAAAGCAAATTCCACTTTGAGAGGCCATTTATGGATGGTACTGCACACATTCATATCATTCAACTGGACTGGAAATCCGGATATCTTCTCGTTCCGATAAGCGAAGCAAAGATTACCCAACCCTTGCGGTTTCCTTTGGGAAAAATCCGCACAGCGCCCAGCCAAGGCCCTTCAGGGACAGCGCAATAATTCAGAACAGCAACACTTTGCCAAGTTCCGCTTGTGGTTGTCCTTGACAACCCATATGAATGGTGCTATTCCAAGTTCACTAGGAAGCATCCAAATGGCCACTGGACGTGCCCCTTTTTGGGTTGCGATGGTGACAACTTAACCCTTCTAACCCCCTCTTTGTTTTACTGCCAATTGAGCATTTCCCTGTATTCGTAAAACCATGCTACTTCTATGGGGGCAACAAATCACAAGCAAAACGAACCCCCTGTTTCTGCTGAATCATACCTCTCGGGTAGTCTAAGAAGACATGGCATTGAGAGGAGATGCAGGATTTCCGGATAAAGCAGATCACCTGAATATGAGGTCTCCGAAATTCGAGACCCTTTTGCGAATGGTGTTGGAAGGGAAACGACGATTGTTCACCATTTGTAGAGGCCCTAATTGTTGGACCCGCAGAAACCTGAAAAGAATCCATCTCATTTTGGCCTGCCTTCAACTTGGCCCACTTCCAAGGGTACTTCAAATATCACATGTCCTGTTTCTGTTTTCATATTTTTGATATTCTATCTACCTCAAAATTGGAGGAGACTTGAGATCCGCTTCCAAGGCGCTGGGGCACTCTGCCTTCGTGATATGCGCCGAGTGCCGAGACCCGCACCTAAGGTGCCGCTTCGAGACTGATCCAGATATCCAGCTTCTAAAATTGCCTTAATCCTGAATAGAATGCCCAAAAAGAGTCCAAACTCTGTGTCTGCCACTATAGCCTTCCAACAATATCAAAACCCTGGAACTGGAACTCAGGGAGCGAAAGAGGGGAGCCCACCCCGCAAGAGAAGCAAACTGGATCAAAGCCCTAGACGTCTGGGCGCTTACGGCTCCGCCGGCACTGGGCGCCGTTGATGGCACTTTAGGCATCCAAGGCACTTCACCTTGCCGGATGATGAGCACAGAGGACATGGTGTCTCCATAGCGCCTTGCAACCAGTCAGCTTACCGGGCTCCCTATGTTTCCCCTTAAAACATTGCCCTTACCAGCCGGAACTCAACTGAAATGGGCCACGCTGGTGATATCTAAAACAACCAAAAGGGAAATCGAGGGACGCCTGGCTTATCCTTTGGGAACTTTGACGTGAGACAACCTTCGTAGGATTCCAACCCTCCGAACCCCCCGGCTCTCCCCTCTAAGAAAGCACTTTCATGGCCCCATCTGGAAACCGAAAGGACGTGGTTTCGCAGGGACGCAACAACAGGATCGCTGGTTGCTCTATTTACGGCTTTTACAGCTAGGCCCTCCTTGCTCAACCACCAAAAGGAAGCTCACCTTGAAAAGGCCCAACATTGTGACTCCTCTAATCCCCCCGAGAAAAAAATACCCACACACACACACAACAGCGGGGTGGCGGAAGGGAGGATTCGGTCCTTGGTAGGCTTGAAGGTAGACCCTCCGAGTTAAACACCTTTCGAGACAGGGAAAGCATTGACATCCATCAAAGAAGCGACTCCCAAAACGGAAACCTACAAAAGAAGGATTGAAGCGGAATCGGCTTGAATCTTACTTGCTGCCAAGCATTCAGGGTGTTCCCGCCAGGGATCAAAGATGCTTTAGATGTGTTAAACGATCCCCTCGTTTCCCCTTCGGAACCGAACCGGGCCGGTAGATCAAAACTTGGCCTGCGTGATTTGTTGGGTCCTAACCCCCTTTTTGGGAAGGAATGCCCAACCCATCCCAACCCGTTGTCAGTTATCTCCTTCTTATCTCCACCAGACGTTTTGGAGGTTGGAGGGTGCCCTCACCGGTGAATTCATCAGAGCGGCAGAATCCAGGAGCCGCGATGCGCGAAGAAGTCCCGGCAGAGGCATCGGTCGGCTTCCGGCAATCGACTCAGCCAGCACTCTTGGCCTCAAAGACTGGTGCTGCAGCCGCTTCAAGCCAAGAGAATGCCCATCCTGCTAAAATGCAACAAATCGATCAGCTTTTCGGGGACGTCAACCGTGTCTGGCTTATGACAAGCCACAAAACGATGCTCTTCACTCAATAGCCATGGCGACGATTCCGTGGTTTAGACCCATTGGGGGGGAACCAGCCAAGGGTCTCAATTGTTTAGACCCGGGGTTTGCCTTACCGATGGGAAATCAAGTTGGTCCAAGGGTTTCAACAAAGGTCCAGCCTGAGCACCCAATGCAGCCCGGAAAAAAGGACAAACAGTTGGACCAACCAGAAAAAATAACATGTTTACCAGCTAATTTGCAGGACCCTTGTGAAACAGGTGGTGTTTGGATGTATCCTTTAGGGATCGCTGGCTGAGTCTGGAAATGTCGTATGTTTCTAGGTGGATGGCTGGAGTTCTCAAAGGGTAGGGTTTCCGGTGTTGCGTTTCGGTCCCATGTTCCACTTCTCACTTTCCGCTTCGGTCTTTCGCTGTCACATAGCGTTCGATCAGATAGATTGAGAGTAAGTCGCAATTTGCGCCATGTTGTTATTTGCCAAAAGGCGAACAGGTCAGCATGGTCACACCAAAGCCAGACTCGGACCCCTGTAACAAGTCTACTGTTTGCTGGTTGGCGGGGAACATGAACAAGTCAAAGCACAACAAAAAGGTAAGCACAATTTTGCAATAGACTAGGGGTTGGGGTTGAGTGAGGTTAGGCTTCTTGGAAGAAGCTGGATTTGCAGTGGATTTAGGGCAATTTGGGGCGGGTGCAGAGCTGTAGACATTGAAAATGGTTGCCAGCTCCTTTCCGTGAAATGCCAAAATGGTTGATTCCACTCTGGCTGCCCCAAAACATGCAATGTTCCGCGGGTCAGTTCGCTAGCTTTTGGAAGCAGTTGCGGGGCTGCTAGGCTTTATGGTTGGTGGCTTCTTTTGTCAAGGTAAACTTGAGGCAAGCGCTGCTTGACTTTCGGGTGTCTGGTAGAGTTGAGAGATCGTTTTGGCTTGATTTCTAGATGGCTACTACCCCTTGCCCAAGACGTTTACCTTTCTGGCCGTCAGTGGGAAACTAATAATTGTCCCAAACAGTTTAGGGCTAAAACTCCATCCAAATAGCATTCATTTGCGTTCGTTCTTGCTTGCGTGCTTCCTTAACTTTAGTCCCGGAAGCATCCCGCAACCCCGGTTGAATTGCATGACCCCCTCCATACAGAGGTGGGGACATGGAAACATATCCTTGACACAAGTACTGGCCAACAAACACTTGGAGACATGGGTCTGCTTTTTGAGGGTAACCCCAAAACTGCACAAGGGCAACACTTTTTTTTCAGCGCGGCAGGCGCAAGCCGTTCGCTGCTGACAGATCCCGGAAACAAGTTGTTTTCCCAGGGGCTCATACGGTTGATCCCGGGAACAGGGATTCATCGGGGACCCCTCAAACTGGCATGCTTCCTTTCTGCTTCCCTGAGCACTACATGAGGGATCGCCAAATTTGGAGAACACCCATATTTCCCCTGAAAGAATGGTATTGTTCTGAACATCACCTGTCGAAAGAACAGTATTGTTCTGAACATCACCTGTCGGACCGTATTCTTGGTGGGGTAAGATTTGAAGGGCTGCATTTGTCTGAGGGGAGAGTTGGTCCCCGTGCCTTTTGTGGGAATTTCATGTTAACACTCGTGCCCTCACCAGTCATGTTCTCACAAAGTGGTGGACCCCAAAGTGGGTGGTTTCAATCAAAAAGGGTACCGTCAAAAAAACATCCCTATACTATATATAGCAGGAACTGTGAGAACTTTCGATTCAGCTTTCGCTGAGGAACTCTCCGGCTGCAACGCAGGCCCATCCATGAATTCTGCTGTCGCTTTCGCTTGGGTGTGCTTTTTATGCAGGCTCGGTACCGCTGCTTGGCCTTTCAAGGAAACCAGCAGGGACGCCGGCAACTATTATTTTTGAGGGCATTCGCATATTTGGAGACAGGCCCATTGTGGCTCTTTCGTTTGACCCACACGAATTTTGTGCGTTTTGGACCTTCTCCCAGTGTCAAAAGATGATATGGACCAACCTGTGAACCCATGTTGCGGGCTTGGCTCTGGCGATTGTTTCCGATAAGGCCAGAAAGGCATCACTCGTCAACCAACTAGCAGCAACTAGCGTTTCTAGCGCTTCATGCCGGGGGTTCCCCGATCGGTTGATCTCCTCGAGCCGGGCTCATGCGTAGCCCCCTGTTGCTTTGGGCCAATGGCTGGATATGATAGGGACTCAAGGTGCTCGTTCCTTGCCAGCAAAACGGTCGTGCCCAAAAACAAACACGGAACCTATCAGAGGGTCCCTGCTGAAGGAAAACTGTCTTTCAAGGGTCCTGTCAGGTCTCATGATTAATCTTTTGGGAGGTTAGTACTCCATCTGATCAGGTGTTCCTTTTGGGAGACTTGACACTTACGGTTGACATTTAGCAGCAAGGTGTGTTTCCAACCAACACCTTGTTCTTCTTTGCAGCGCCTGAGAATGAAGAAACTCAACACATAACCAATTAAACACACACACACACACAAGCCAAGAATAGCGGCAAGCCGCGAGAGGCGTCATCTGGCACATGCGGCCGACAAACTATCCACAGTTTGGGGTTGTGTCAAAACAGGGAAACCTCCGACGTGGGTGATTGTCCCTTTGGCTTCCCTGTTAGTCAACTTGTGGGTACCCTCAAAGAATCACACCCATTTTCTACTCAATTGAGTTCGACAGCCGTTCACATAGTGACTTCAGTGCCCGATCCTTCCAACAATGGACATATCACCATGCAGCTCCCCAAGGAAGGAGATAACCAAGGCTTCTCGGAGGTTCCCTGAGGATGCCCAGGAAGTCGGCGTGTTGGCACCATTTAGCGAGCTCGCTGTGACCCCCCGATCGGTGAGCTCGTAGAGGTTTGTCCAGGTACCGCGGAGGCACCTGGATCTATGTCCATTGGGTGCATCGAAGTATTCTCACCGTATCCTCAACCAGGGCTACCATCCACCCAGGGAAGAGCGCCTTGCATATCTGTGAAAGCTAGAGACCCTTCAGACTTTCCCCTACAACCAAGTACCACAAGGAATGTGGGCGGGTGGGATCTTGCGTTTGTTCCCATGATCTTTGGGGTAATTGGTTGGGAATCCGGAATTTGCGCGAATTTGGGTGGGGCCCTCATGTCCGTCCAAAGCAACAGGACACCAGCAATTGCTCAACAAAGATTCTTGCTCTCTTTTCCCTCGCTTCCGGTCGCGTCTCCACTGCCGGTCTCACCAGTTCTCCCGAGCTCTTGAGCGCCTGCGAGATCGGCTCGGCACACCAACAATGCAACAAGGGTGCTCACATATCGACCTCTGAGGACGGGGGGCCTGTTCTTTTTGCGAGTCCTTTTACTGGGGGATTTAATCAGACCAACATGTGAGCAGAAATGGCAGCAATTCAGCCGCCCCAACAGCAACTTGGCTTCCAAAAGTCTGGGGGTCCGGGGGTTTCACAACCCCGGCTAGGCACGCCACCAAGCAAGACCTTTGCACGTCGTCTGAGCTGCGACATGAACGGCAATGACTGACACGACAAAACAAGTGCAGGGTGTGTATGTGTGTGTGTGATGTTGCGTTGAGTTGTGTTGCGTTGCGTGGTGGGTGCCTGGTGCCCGGCGCTTGGTGCGTGGTACCTGGCGAGAGGTACGTAGTACCTGGTACGTGGTACGTACGTGTGTAAGTGCATGCCTGCGCTCTTGCGGGTGTGGGTGTGGGCGCGCGCGCGCGTGCGTGCGTGCACGCGTGGGTGGGTGGAAGTGTGTGGGTGGGTGCGTGCATGCAGGCGGGCGCGCATTAGTGCGTGCGTGCATGCATGCGTGCGTGCATTCGTGCGTGTGTGTGTGTGTGTGTGTGGGTGCGCGCGCGCTTTGTTTGTGAGTGTGTGTGTGCGCGTTGTGTGTTGTGTTTGTGTGCATGTGCATGTGCATGTGTGTGTGTGTTGTGGATTGTGTGTGTGTGCGCGTGCGTGCCTCCAGTAGATGTGGTAGTTGCATGTAACTAGCAAGGCAGTAGATGTGGTAGTTGCATGTAACTAGCAAGGCATCTTTGTGCGTCGCCCGTCAGCATGAACAGAACTGAGAAGCAACAACCATCTGGTTTTGGCTCTGGAACGTGACTCCAACCTATCCCTTGCCATGTGGAGGGGGCTTCTAACACTGAGTTGGTCTATCTCTCTGAGAGAGAAAACAAATTCAGCCTAGTGCAACTCAATGTCAAGAACTTAGCTTCCAAAAGATCTGAGCAGATACCAAAGCCCAGCCACGACAATTCTCCAAAATATTTACACCTGGTAACTGATCTGCGCGCAAGATCCCTGCTTGTTTCTGTCATACCAAAAGCGCGTACACACTTTTCAGGAGATGCCATGCATATTGCAAAAAGCTGCCCTGAAACCCGAACA